AGCAATTTTTTAAATAAAAATAATTATGAATTTCTGTCAATTCTATATTTTCTTATTTACTTCGACAAAACTCCTATAATACTTCAATTTCGGATGCAATGATAAATACTAAATCAAATTAAAATTTTTCCTATGGAAACATATTTATACCTAAATTTTTGCCAATATCTATTTTATTTTCATCTGACGAAAATAATCTTCAAACACTTAAAAGCAACTAGTTCGTCAAAAAAATTGAAATTTCTCTGACAACACAATAAGGTCTCTCTGAAATAAATTCCTCACACTCGCAAAATCTCATTCTGATGCATCAAAGAGGTTGAACAATTAATTTTTTCACAGCTTGAAAAGGTCACTATTAAATCAGAATTTCGTTTTTGTAGTGTTATTACTCATGTTCGCCAAACTACGCTGGCGTAGAATGACGGTAAAAGAAGCCATTTGTACTGTGTAACGCGCTACGTCCCAAAAATCATGATTTACGAGGATTTTATTTCGAAAAAGCACAATTCCCTTTGCGGGCATGCAGAGCGGCCGGTATACTGTCGGCTTTCGAAACAATCGATAAGAACTGCTTGAAGAATTCTCCAGCCGCGTACGTCACGCACCTTTCCACGAAGGATAAACCTGAAACTGGCGTGCCTTTCAAGTTCGACGAAATCCGCGACAGTGAACGTGTCATGAAGATATAGGCGTGCTCTTCGAGTCATCGAGAATACCCGGAAAATCGGATGACACCGATTCAGGACGGAACCACTTCCGCTCTGTTTTTGGGGAACCTGATGATTCTGTGTTGTACGGAGACTTTAATGGATAGAGCTTGTTTAGTCAGACAATTAAAAAATTTTAATCAAAAAAGGACGATATTTTGGTATTTTAGTTTTTGTTTTTGGGGAACCTTATGATTTTGTATCATACAGAGAATTGAATAACTGAAGGTTAATCAGACAATCGACACTGGACTAATTTTATTAAAATAGATTCTAATTAAAAAAGGACGATATTTTGGACGAGTTAAATATTTTAGTATTTTATTTTTTGTTTTTTGGGGAACCTTATGATTTTGTATCACACAGAGAATTGAATAACTGAAGGTTAATCAGGCAATCGACACTAGACTAATTTTAACAAAAAAAAGAAAAATAATATTTTAATATA